TGCGGTCATTTTGATAGCTTTTTACTAAGTTAAGCACGTCCTCAAGAAGGAAATGGGTATGTGCAGAAAGGTGGTGGTTTTGTGTTGAAAGGGGAGATGCTGCAGGTTTCTGGACTGGCACCTTTGCCTGTGCTTTCGTCGACTCGCGTGTCCAGCCTGGAAGGGTTAGAGGGGTTTCTGAGTGCAGAACCTGTGATACCCATCTTGTATGCACTGAGGCCTTAACAGCAGCTTAACCAAGAAGTCACTGAACAGTTCGTGGCCCACAGGGTGCACTTAGCCGCGGGGGACACCTAGGGAACGTCAGCGGTACTGACTTCGCAGAGCCTCATCTGTGCTGGTTTGGGCCATCAAAGGACTCGTAGCTTCCCTGAGCGTGTTCACACAGAAATGCTTTTCCTAGGAACCCTACCACGCCATGGCAGTCATGATAGCCTAGGAACGAGAGCGAATTCAGTGGGGAGAGAACTGGTAATAGGGGTACGACCTTCGACATCATAATCAGCTACAGGCACCGAACATTATTCTCTTTTGTGTTTGCGTGATTTTGATTTGGTGACTTGGTCCAAGAAGGTGATAATAGGAACCATATCAGAACTGACTGATACATAGTTATAATCTCAGTATGTATCTGACCGAATTCTGCATTCCCCTGAGCTACCTCAAATGCTGCCTCGCTCCGAGTTACCCTGTATGTTCTGGAACGTTATATACTGGTATATGCCATCTTTCAATCTCCTGATCCTCAGAACTGTACCTCTGACTCAGTTTCCCCCTCTCCTGTTCCCATAATACTGTCCCTTCCCTCAGCCACCATGTTTAGGGATACTGGGTGAATTGGCCTGTTGTTTTTTTTTCCTGTTGCTACCTTGTTGCTTCTTAAAGACCAGAAATACCAGGCATCTCCCACATATGCACCTCTCCTCATGTCCCACTGCCTGCTGTGGGAAGCCCCAAGTCTCCTGCCTGACAGGTGTAATGCTTGAAAATCTGAGGCACCCTTGCTCTCTGTTGTTGCTTCTTTGGGAGGATCTGTGTTCTGGTGAAACTGCCCGTTCTTCACCACCTCTGGATCTTCACGTGCTATACTTCACATGCTATACTTCACACGCTATACTTCACATGCTATACTTCACATGCTATGCTTCACACGCTATACTTCACATGCTATGCTTCACACGCTATACTTCACGTGCTATACTTCACATGCTATACTTACTCAGCTCTCTAGGAAAAACCAGCAAAGGCTCAGTTATGTGCATGTCAGGTTCAGTCAAAACGATAGTCCTTAGCGACTCTGATGCAGCGTACAGCCCAGCGAAAAGTAGATCCCCAAGTAACCAAAGTAGCACAGC